GCGTGCACATGCGTGTGCGTGTAACATCGTGCGACGCAGGCAAATTGAGCGCACCTATATAACCTCATGAATTATTAAGTTGTCCCTTTGTCATACTTCGCTTTAACGAGGGAGTCCCGGTGCCAATAAATTAAATTAAACTACTCAGCATCGCCGCGTGCGTTCTATGGAGCACAGGTATAAACTATTGATGTTGCCATAGCACACGGAGTGCCGGAGCAATATCAAGCGATCTGCGTCACAATGACAGCAGAGCCAGAAAGACAGCCGACTACGTAAGCAATCATCAATACATGAGCCTCGACCATGACATCAAAACATGACCGGCGGTCGATAAACACGCTTCGTATTCATACTAAACAAGCTTTACTAAACCTATCACGCACACAGATCAACGACAACACGTGTGTGTAGATGTACATATAGTAAATTTAATATTCCCCGCAATCGTTATCGAAATATTAAGCCGAATACACTTCATGACCTCCCCCCCCCCCCCCATAGCGCTATGAGTATGAGGCTCGAAAAATGAGCCTCGCGTTTGACCGGCGGTCGATAAACACGCTTCGTATTCATACTAAACATGCTTTATTAAACCTATCACGCACACAGATGAACGACAACACGTGTGTGTAGATCCTCTCTCTCTCCTCTCTCACTCCCCTCTCTCTCCTCTCTCTCTCTCCGCTGCTCTCGCCTCTGCTCTCGCCTTGATCATCTCTCTCTCTATCTCTCCTTTCTCCTCTCTCTGCTCTCTGCTCTCTGCTCTCCCTCTCTTTCTCTCATGTCTCTGCTCGCTCTCTCAAACAACACTGCTTAATTCAATGTTACCCCTAACCCTATTCCACACACGAGTGTAGTGGCAGCAGTTCATACTGCATCCTGCTCTCTTTCTCTCTCTCTCTCTCTCTCTCTCTCTCTCTCTCTCTCTCTCTCTCTCTCTCTCTTTTTCTTTCTCTCTCTCTCTCTCCTCTCTCTCTCTCTCTCTCTCGTTAGCGATTATTTACTCCTGATATATACATATAAATATATAAACCGTATTTTGATATGAAATTCCAGATGATAACTGCCCCTAGCTGCATGTAACTTCGATCGGATCGGGCAGTAATTTGGTGATTATAAGGGTGAGAAATCCCTTGACACGGTGACACCATTGATCTCTCTCTCTCTCTCTCTCTCTCTCGCTCTCTCTCTCTACTCTCTCCCTCCTCTGCGTTCTCTCTCTCTCTCTCTCTCGTCTCTCTCTACTTCTCATCTTTCTCCTCCGCTCTAATCGATCAGTTAAAACTCCAAAAATAACGAAGTTCCCGAAAATATTCCCAATCAAGATTCTACAAATGCTAAGCTCGAACGACAATAGCCCCAGTTCTCGCTCCAAATATTCAATCAACCTGTGTATCAGACGGAGTATTTCCTGACAGTGTCCTTACAATCTGGCCAAAATAATAGCAAAATCTATAAAGATTGACTTACCCAGAAAAGATCCATCCTGAACTACAGCCGATATCTCTTTTATGCACGCTCAGCTAGAATATTTGAGAAAATAATTTAACACTAAAGCAATAAAATTCTTAACAGAATAATATACTATAACAAGATACCAATTCGGCTTCAGAAAAAGGTCACTCCACTACCCTACGCACACCTCGAAATAGCTGATAGCATACTTAACGCTCACTTGATAGAAAAGTTTATATCACATGTGGTAATATTACCTAGATTTATCAAAGGCGTTTGACACTGTGCAACACGAAATACTTTAAAAAAAACTGGAATATCTATGGTAATAAGAGGGAATTGCCCTGAAAAAATTTCGCCACTCGTATGTTCAATCCAACGAGAAAACACTATAACATCAATCGATGAACACTTATCGTCTGTACTTGATTTCAATGTGCGATGTCTCAAGATCAACAACTGTGGCAGCTATTATTCCTAATCTATTATAATCAATGATCTACCGTTTGCTCTAATTTTCAATAAGAGCGACTATTTGCTGATGATACTACATCTACTTTCTATCACATTCACAGCCTCGTACCATTCAAACAATGGTTACACCAAGAAATAGCTAAAGTAGATTCATGGTTAAAGTCAAAACAGAGCTATCGTTTAAACATCAACAAAAAACAAAATATAGTGATCAATATGCAACAAAATCAGCAGAAACAGGCAATATAAAAATTCTTAAACTTAGTATGGACTCGCATAATAAATCAAACAAGAAAACAGTATAAAATATCTGGGTCTTTACCTGGATAACCAGCTTACATGGGATACCCATATTAAACATATCACATATAAAGTCACCAAAACTAAAGGCTATCTTTACAAAAATCAGACATAATGTAGACACCTTGACGTTAAAATTACTATAACTATGCCCTAATCTACCCCTTACCTACAATACGAAATTCTAACATGGGGCAATGCTAATATCACTACGCTTAAACCATTAATACCACTCCATAACACGGTAGCGAAACTCATCACATTTGCAACTTTAGGGATCACGCAACCCCCTTCATTCACCTCCCTTAAAATTACTAAAAACTACTGGACCTACACAAGTACGAACTTATAGTGTTCATGTACAAATAAAACATGGCATGTTACCGTACATATTTACACTACTTTACAAACTATCAGACGTCCATGACCATAACACAAGAAGCGCGGAGACAAAACTATTTTATAGAAGAGTCATGAAGAAAAGTTATGCTCGAACACAATCAAATTCAAAAGGAGCGAAGTTATGGAATGAACTTACTCTGGAATTCCACACAACTGCTCTTAAAAAACAACTAAAATAAAATATAAACACATCCTATACTGTCAAAATATTCTTGTCCATAAACATACATTATTACTTAGCAATATACCGCAAACCAAACACACCTTGTAACGCAATTGGAAAACCTGTTAACAAATATATCTTACACTGAACAGATTCCTTTGAATCCTTGAACTGGGCTCCGCAGAGCTGTAGTGTACTCCCGTATATTGTAGGATTCATTCGTGCCCTACTTGCGTATAGCTACCTCAAATTCATACTGTAATATTAACTATATATATATGTATTATTATTTTTGTATATATTATATGTATCAAACCTGTTTATTTCTATTTCTATAAAGTTCCGAAAATAAAAATCTGTTATTTCCTGTGACTACCTTGTGAATGTAGCACCTTGATGAGCAGAAATTGTTATCCTCTCTCTTTTTTGTTTGACAGTATCAATTCCGGGGGCTATATTCCTGTATAGTTTTTTTTATGCCGGTTCTGTATAACTGTATATACTATACCCAATATGTGAATTATCTTAATCTCAACTTAATTTATCAAATTCATATATCTTCTTCGGTACAAAATTATTTATTGTAGCCTATATTACTATAAACTGATTACTGTTCCTGGTTGTTATCACTGTATATTACGCAGCCATTACTTGACTTACCTTGTGATGTAACACCTTGAATGAGCCAGAATTGTTTATCGTTCTCTCTTTTTTTGTTTGACAGTATTCAATTCCGGTTATATTACTGATATATTATTTATTTTTGTATTACATTTACATGGACTCATAATTACTAAAAAATCTCCTGATTACCTTAAACGACTATTCGGTGAGTATCAGGTAATAATTATAATTAACCAGCTTCTTGCGGAATGTACTTATTAAATATTATTAACGGCCTCGTATAAATGTTTCTTTTGAATTAGTATATATATTTAATTATTTTTTATGCCTGTTCTGTATATACTGTACCCAAGATGTGAATTATCCTAATCTCAACTTACAGTTATCAAATTCATATATATTCCTTCTGTACGAAATTATTTATGGTAGCCTACATTACTGTAAACTGATTTACTGTTCTTGTTTGTTATCAACTGTATATACTGCACCATTACTACTTCTATTTGCAAAGTTTCTCAACTTTTCCTAAATTTGCAATACCACGAATATCTAGTGCTCAATATTATGTCTACTGTACATATAAAGGGATAGCTGACTCGATGACCGTCACCCTATGGTCTTTCGCTACCCCTTCACCCCTCACAGTAATGTTTTCTGTATCATTGTATCTTTGCTAATTGTGGTGATAAATAAATTTTTTGAATTGAATTGAAATTGAATCTCTCTCTCCATACATGCCAACATTTTTGAATGAAAAGTGGTAGATCCGCGTGCGACGCATCTCGTCGCGCGCTGCCGCTGAGGGCGGTTGGGGCATGCCCGCCCAGGAAAATTTTCAAAAAATGGTGCTAAATGGTGCCTTCTCCTGCATTCCTGGGGAGTAATTGGACTCGCAATAGAATACATTAGAGATACATTACATACATTTATTAGAGATAAAATGAAAAAAATGAAAAAAAGAATTTTTTCAAAAATTTTTGGCAATGCGGTAGGAATAGTATTAAAAGCGGTAGGCGGTAAAAGTCTTCAAAAAGCGGTAGTCCTACCGCGAAAGCGCGTAGGGTTGGCATGTAATGTACTCTCTCTCTCTCTCGTCTCTCTCTCTCTCGTCTCTCTCTCTCTCTCTCTCTCTCTCGTCTCTCCTCTCTCTATCTCTCTCTCTCTCTCTCCTCTCTCTCTCTCGCCTTTTCTCGCTCCTCTTTCCTTCCTCTCCTCTGCCTCTCGTTTACTCCTGATACGTACGTACCCCTTCTAGGAAATTACAATAGAGCAAGCTCGCATACATCATTTACATGATACAATTCATCCATCCTGAGGCAAAAAGGCTAAACTGTGTTTGTGTAGTTTGTAATTGTTTTTGCCAAATTGTAATTGGTTCGTTTCGTTTATTACATTATTTCGTTATTTTGCCCTAAAATCAAGGACAAGGGTGCAGCTCCCCCTTGCCCCGCAAAGACTAACCACCCGCTCGCATTTCCCTTCACAACATCGTTGCTCGCAAACTCCACGACAGATGGCGCTCTCCGCTGCGAATGCGTGAGGTTAGAGGTCACGAACATGTCTGCGCCGTGGCAAGTGACAGTTCTCCTTGCCAATATGATTGTGATATACTTCTATGTGTTAAAGGTATTCTAAAAATTAGTTAGGGAAATTGCTAAGCTTGTGTCAGGTGTAACTGCAAGCGCCACTGTTCACACAACTATTACTTATATTATTAGCCCCACTGTCTCCATAAACTAAGAGTAAGAGTAAGAATAACTTGAACTTCGACTTCTATCAGTATCAGTCTTACTCTTAGCTCTAGTACTAGTACTAGTAGTAGTAGTACTAGTAGTACTATAGCGTCCGTTCATTAACTGCCGCAGGGCTATAGAACCATTCTCGCACAGATTTCGTAACACCACCTGGTCCCGATTGGTTCCACAAAAAATGGCTCAGAAAACGCAAAGCGGCAAAATTATCAGGCTTTTTAACACTTAGGGCCTATTAAAGGCTATTATCTACATGGACATCCTCACCTATCATTTTGAACACTTTGGACTTTTCACCAACTTTACACCCATGTATTTATGGCCTTTAATAGCTTTAATTCCTCACACAAGTCAGCACTACTGGCTGTACCATTTGAATATATTGTGGCGTGCGAACGCGTGACGTCACCGGTATTGTATGACATGCACCATAGCTGCCATGTGTTTTTCCTACATATCCGGTGACGTCACGCGTTCGCACGCCAATCATTTCAAATGGTACAGCACATCGGCGCCAGTTAGTGCTGACTTGTGAGGAAATAAAGCTATTAAAGGCATAAATACATGGTGTAAAGTTGTGGAAAGTTTCAAAAGATAGTGAGATGTCCACTGTAGATAAATAAGTGTTAAAAAGCCCGATCATTTTGCGCTTTTCTGAGGCCATTTTTCGTGAACCAATCGGGACCAGGTGGTGTTACGAAATCTGTGCGAGAATGTTCTATAGCCCTGCGGCAGTTAATGAACACGGGCTATAGCCTATAGGACTAGAGCTATATCAGTCTATGCTGTCACTATATAGTCACATACATTCATTCATCATGCGTCTAAACAGAGGAATTGCTCCGACCTGTGATTGGAGGATAAAAATAGACCCCGTCGACCCCGGTCGCGCATACGCTATTATGCTATGACCGGTAGAACGTGTATTTACAAGATACAGACCCTGGTATAACGTGTACGATGTACTACCTACTAACCTATCATATGGAGCGACCGATTTCAGTTACAATTTCTATAAATTCTAGCTGTTATAGTCTATAGACACATGTCTTAGCCTTAATGATAATCTCTGTGAAATTTTGAGTCTCTGAAGCAAAGATTAGTCTAATTAATTAGCAAATATGCAACGCGCGGTATGCGCTCATATAATAGACTAATAGTAATAGTAATAGTAATACAGCGCGCGGCCTATGACCAGTGAACGAAACGTCACTAATTCTATTTTATCCTCAATCACAGGTCGGAGCAATTCCTCTGTTTAGACGCATTTTTGTCTGTTCACTGAGCTAGGCCTACCTAAGCTCATAGGGCTATGTCCCCCAGGGTACTGCCCGGAACGTACCCTGGTTACGGCCGGTATACCGGAATCGAACCCTGGTGACCTATGCGTGATATGTTAGGGTTTGGGGAGTAGGCGTAGCGCGACGCGCTAAGGACTGCGATTCAGTGGAGTACGCCGAGTCTGTCCGGCATATTAGATAGTACCAGGGTACTAGAGGCTAGCCCGAGACCAGGGCCCCGGCAGCCCGGCATAGACTGTTCACAGATCAGTATTCTACAACGCTTATCGCGGGAAGGTGGCTATAAACTCCCTGTGTTGTAAGTTATCAAATTGATCGAAGGCTTCGATCGCCACCTGGTATAGCATGTTTCAATCCTGAAAGAGTGCTGTACATGAAAAGAAGCTGTACTTAAAAACCATGCAGTAAAATATGAGTATTACTATTAGCGTATCTTTTTTAAGTGTCTAGATCTTGTAGCCATTGACACTAGGGTGAGATATTGGAAACTTGGTACACCAACTTAGGGCCTGCTGTTAGAAACATAAATAGTTATTCGACAAGCCATAAATATGGGTGCTCAGATCATGATCAATAATAGATATAGTTCGATAGATAAAGCGATGTGCCATCTAAGTGACATTTCGTTCGGTAAAGTCATTTTTACATGTATACAGACCAAAACTATTAGGCAGTGGCTGGAGATACGCACCGTATCTCCAAATTTACGAGGCTGGAGGTAGGGCAGTCCATTCGCTTTCATACAAACGAGACAAAGATCGGCGGCGGCCAATTTAGATTTCAAAATAATGCATTGGGAAATAAATTCACGATTTGAGAGTTTTGATAAGCTAGAAAACACTCGGATTAGCTATGAAAGTGAACATTATTGTAAACTTTACATCAGAAGATTGCGAATAATTGCCTCAGCCTTCAAACAAATGCCAAAATGGGCTTCAACGAACGACGGCTGCTGTACCTCCAGCCACTTAGAAGCTATAATGTTTGTTCCCAGTTAAAATTCTGGTTCTGGCCGGAACTTCAAAATTTGTATCTGGTGCACACCTATTCACAAGTGCAAAATGTGCATGTACAGGTGCTTTTACATGGTTTGTTTTCGTGTCTAGTGCAGGTATAACTGGAGCAGGAGAAGTTTACCTGACTATGAGGTCAACAGAGGTTGATGGTTTGTGTGAGCGGCCGTGGAGCATCTGTCGCGGACTCTGTGCAGCTTACAAAGGATTCCTCCTGCCTCGTGTTTACGCTGCAGAGCCAATACCACCCGAGCAACCTCCAGGTACTCAACCAGATACTTAAAAAAGGTTAAGACCCACTGCACTAGAGGCTAAGAGCGAAAGTTATAAAGTAAACTGTTGTAGTATCGCATCACAGCCAAACTGCTAACAGTGATTATGATTTGGTAGCCATATTTCAAGTAAGTTTTATTACTTTATTACTGGATTTGCTTCTGCAGCATCCACGAGTGTCACTCAGGAGGCACATGCTTCACCACAAGACTCTACCCCACCTGCATCTGGAGCTGGTAGCACATGGCAAGCTGTAAAGGAAAAATTCGAATTGGCTAGTGCATCTAACCTGTATGCAGCACCAGATGAAGAAACAGGACTGGATCGAGTAAAAAAGATATTCAGTAAAGAGTGAGGATACATATTCGTGGAGACCTTTATGTTATGCTGGTTATCTTGTGTGTAATGTAAAGTGTGGTTTGCAGATGGTAGAAATAGTAGTTGTGTTTAGAAATGTCACGATAGTAGTTGCATAATGGGTTAGTCGGCGGCAGCGCGTTTGATGTAGTATGGATGATGGAGATGCGAAACGGTTGAGAGGGAGTTGTTGTGCATGTGGGCAGCGGGTGTGGTTGTCCGGACGCACGCGACTTTCATTGTTAGCTAGAAATGTATGAAAGGAAAAGGTTCTTGGTTGTGAGGGAGATCGGACGTGAGTGTGCGAGGCACGCAGCTGCGTGCCTCTGTGCGCGCGCATGTGGGTTGAGAAACAAGAATACTATTTCCTTTTCACTTTCAACTTACAACAAATCTACTTCGAAACGGGTCACATCATGTCATCGTCCTCGTTACAGTAATGCATAAAACAAACCAGGGGATTTTTCTAATGTTGGAGAATTAAAACATATTTGAGTGGTCCTACAGCTTTGCAATGCACAGTCATTATTCCGTTATTGTAATATCAAATCTTGAGTTTGGTTTAAATACCTTTCTTCAGGTTCTGTAGTAATGTGAAATTCTCGGGTTTCAGTCTCATGAGCTGGTCAGCTCTGCATGTTCAGAATTGGACCTTTTTTTTTAATGTAAAAAGTTCGGGAAAAAAAATCAGAAAAAAAATCGGAAAAATCCTGAAACTCAGACCCAAATAACACTATTCAGACTAAAAACAAAACAAAATGGTGTTCCAGATGGGCTTTCTAAGTGTCTTAAAAACACTAAAAACCGGTGCCGCGCTCCGCTCGCTGTGCGCTAATTAATCACTACTTAATTGTTCAGGATTTTTTGGAACTACCCTGTAGCATCTCTGCATGTTGCATGCTTTGATTAAATCAGTGATCTCATGCATCAATATGGCTTCTTGCGGTAGGGGTGGCTTAGCAGATGAGTAACCAATTGCCAGAGATCAGAGACTGGTCAGCTTGTAATGACCTCAAAACCTAATCTCATGCTAGACTGCACTATTATTTAAAGTCCCAACACCAGGCCTCGAATTAAGTGACGAGAGGGGCAAGGCAATTTTTTGGGGGCATGTGAGAAATTGCCT